TGAATTAACGATACTATCAATTGAAAAATATATGGTAGTAAAACTTAAATATAAAACCTTAATTAATACTTTTGCAACTTAAAAAGTAAGAAAATTTAATTTTAAATAAAAAATATTAACACTAAACATAAAATACCTTATTTAGAAGTATCGGTTTAGGCTCTAAATTGTCTTGAGCCACCCTGCCGTCTATATATACATCCCATTCACTTGTCGTTTTCTTGAAGGTTTCAATTACCCTTTTCGATTCTTCCATAGAGGAGAAGTTCTTGAAGGGTTTTAAAGGATTCATTCATCGTTGATTAGATAGCTTTATTTTTGAGATTCAGAGAGAAACAAAGAGAAAAATCAATTATGTTGATGTCGATGTTCAGTTCTTTTGATGCCTTCTGTGCCGAGTCGTTTGGTCAGAAGGTCGATTTTTCTTGGGCTTCTGGTAAAGGGGGAAAATAACAAACGTTCGTTGTATCAGATCGCAAGGAGACTTCGTCGTCAATCGAACGTATGAAGAAGGTTAAGGAGGGAATTCCATCTAAACCACCTTCGGATGGTGATAAGTCAAGCAATCAACGGCGACAGAGGAGGCCGATCCTGTATTATAGGGGATTTTAATACCATATTTAATTTTGTTTTTAATCCATTTTGTATTGTATTAGACTGTATTACTTTATCTAATCTATTCATTTTAATACGACAACTAAACGAGCCACATAAGTACATCTACCGGCCAAAAAATTGCATCAATGTACTATTCATTGAAAATTTGGTTACTAATTATATTATACTCAATCTCATTTATACATATAAAATATTATCCCCGAACCTATTCAGATACTACTTGATTTCTATGTTTTCTATCACATATTTAATATATCTATTCACAACATATTATGATTCTACCAGTTTGTTTCCTATTTGATTTGACCACTAATAAACCTATTCAATGTATATTAGGACTCACTCCAATTCTTTTCTTATTCGACGTAAGATTCTCACATGTGGTGTCCCAACAAAGTTCACGAATTTAAGCATAAGGACTAAGACCAAACAAAAAGATAGCCAGACTATCCCGAATAATAGAGGCAATTTTAGGCTGTCAATAAGGAAATTGTCTAATTAGTAGGTACACATTATAAACATGTGACCTAAAGAATTGACTACTAAGAAAGAAAATATAGAAAAGTGAAAATATGAATTTGTGAAGATTTGGCCAACGAATAGTGGGTACAAATTTCTATAAATAAAAGATGAGCTTAAATTTGAAGGTACATACTTCTTTCCCTCCAATTGACTTACTTTATCTCAGACCCTTATTGAGTAAAACATCAGAATATTTCCGACCAACCAAGTCGCACTCTGTGGTAATTTGTTCGTTTTACACGACAATGTGTACATAGTTTATTTTCAAATAAAACTCCACATCAATCAAAGATGCAAGATCTTCCTCCATACACTAATTATATTAGATAAAGTTAAGATTCAAATTGGGTCAAATTATGACTCAGCCAACTAGGATTGATCTAAAATATTTAGTTAATCTAGTTAAATCACAACTTTGTGACAAATTTATTTAAGATCGAAATAATTTTAGAATCGTATACTCGAGTATATTCAAATCCTTTGTCACATAGTTTGATATGCAAATTGTAGATTGGTAGCTGGCACCTATTTGAATATGTTTCAAAGATTTTGGTTGCCGGTGACAAAAAATTCAAAGCAAATCATAGCAGATAGATTAGAGTCATGTGGATCAGAGATGCCTATCTCATTTTTTCATAGCACATTAGAGAATTTGGATGCTTTGTCGATTCCCCCATGTCGGATGATATCGTGGTGGATTCGTCTTAGTAACATTCCAGTTGAAAATACATACGTTTAAAAGACGAGCCACATCATTCTATTGGTGATTTCTATAAATTCTATTTGTTTTCATTTTTGAAGCACTGCTTGTATTGATTGCATGAACAATATAATTAGCTGTCAACATAAGAATCCAATCAATATCGTAGGTCAATTTGGCATATCGTACTACAAGTAAGGGGAACAATATTTTCCTAATACGTAAGTGAGGCATGCGTTATCTTTATTGATACACTTTATTAAATCACGGTTTACATCAGAGCTCGTAATTAGATCGCTTTCACTATTACATAGTCAGTTAATACACATCTTATATTTAAGACAAAGTTGTAAGGCTAACTATAATCCATAAGAGTATACCAGATACCCGTTATGAATAAAAAAAAATTAATTATTGCATATCACGATATCAAAAGAATATTGAATTTACAATTAAAAATCAAAGTATAAGTTCAAACATCACAAAATAAATAAATAGAATGCTAGAGCTTACAATTTGGAGCTAGAATGACAATTTGGAATTAGAGTTATTGTTTAAGATTAAAGTGTCGTTTTAAGATTATCTATAATATAATTTGAAATCGAAAATCTGAGAGTGGACCCACATACTCTGTCCCCCCCCCTAGTTCCCCTCCCTTTTCTTTTGTCCCCTGGCCCTCTGTGGCCAAACGTTTTTTGCCTTGTCACTTCCAGAACAAGTAGCAACCTCCTTCCAGAACCCGTAGCATCTCCTATTCGTCCTCCTCTTCTTTTTAATGGATCTTCCTCTTAAACATTACTTTGGAAACTGCAGACCGCTTAACTGTTTACCCAGAAATCGATGACAAATGATCATCACTAAATTAGGGGACATAATTTGCATTTCGGCTAAGTGGAGTACATATTCACGGATAAGATTATACTACTGAAAAAAAAAAATATTTGGTATTATATCGTAATAATTGGAGAATTATATTCAAATCTCTTAAATTTGTCACTTAATCACTCAAATCCCGGACATTTGAAATATTACATACAGACCTCCGTGCGTAACACTTAGACATATGCTGTTAATGTCTGTTAGTTTATCCGTTAATAAATTATATTCAAATCCCCTAAAGTTTATAGGCGTGTAATATTTAGACTCTTCAAGTTTAAAATATTATACTTAAACTCAAAATACTCCTATCAAAGATATAATATTAAATATTTTAAATTTTATAACAAAAATTCATGTTCTATTATGACATATATTGAAATAAAATTAAAAATAAAAATTTAATTTTTTCTTAAGAAATCATAATTAGTATACAATTATACCATCTATTGGAATTTAATTTGATCGCTTAAACGACCAAATTAAACTACCAAATTACCCCAATTAAAACTAAAATATATTGTGTCCATTATAGTTTGACCTCTTATTTGATTTTTTTAGTTTTATTCTAATAGATAGTATAATTGTACACTAATTATTAATTTTTAATAAAGAATTAGATTTTTTTTTTAATTTTTATTTCAATAAATGACTTAATAGAACATGAATTTTGGTTGTAAAATTCATGTTCTATTATGAATGACTTAGACCCCTTCTTTATTTTTTAGTTTTATTTTAATAGATAGTATAATTGTATATTAATTAGAATTTTTTAAAGAAAATTTGACTTTTTATTTTTGATTTTATTTCAATAAATTATACAATAGAATATAATTTTTAATTTTAAAATTTAAAATATTTGATATTCTATCTTTGATTAGAGTATTTTTGGTCTATACATAATATTTTAAACTTGAGGGATCTAAATATTAACTTCAGGACTCTGAGTTTAATTCTCCCAAAAATAATTTGCGACCATAAACCTTTGCTTAATTCATTTGTAGCCATTAATCATGAAAATTATAAAGTAAAGGGCAATAACAAATAAGAACACTCACATATATCACACATTCCCATTGGTTGAAAAAAAAAAGTCTAATAATGAAAAATAACTTTCGAATAGGATATTTAGACCTATATATTTACAAGTTCAGTTTTATGGAGATAAAGGGGCAAAATAGTACAAAGTGAGCATGTTGACTAATTCCAAAACCACTAATCTTCACAGCAAATTCAAAATCAACTGCTAGGAATATGTTGACCATAAAATGAAGATTTTGGATTTAGTGATGAAGCCATGGTTGGGTCCAGAAATCAAACATAACAGAGCATGAACATAGAATAGCAACCATTCTTGTAACACTAAAACAAGTCACCCAGCGGCATAAATATAGGCCTTTAAAAGAAAACAAGCTACCATAAAAGTAGATTATGTGATGTCAACAGCAGTGTATATAAGCCATTTTAACTTCTACATACCTTAAAAAACTAGATTCACAGTACAGTCATTCTAATTCTATGAAGCATTAGAAGGGTCAGGTAGTCTATGCAGTCTTCTTATGATGCCATCATATGTTTTGTGGTTTGACAAGGAAGGAAGTAGAGAACATGGTTTACACGGATCAATCAAAGATCAGCACAGAATGATCTCAGCAGTCATCACCGCTGGATACATTGCCTATACTTGTAAGTTGTAAGTCAATGCATTTGATTTCATGGATGCAGTAGACGCGAGAAAATCTTGAAATACTTAAAAATAGTGCCAACACGTAACGACGAGTCGGTGTCAATTTAAATTTACTAAAGAAAGGGAAATTGCACAACCAAATTCCTAAATGCAAGAATGGAAATAATTGCACAAAAGAACAGAACACAAATACATACTTCATTTCTTATCAGTGAAATAAATTATATACAGGTAACAGTATATATTGGTTGCACAACATTAGCTTACTAAATGCTACCTATGGTAGTGTGTTTCATATAAAAGCTGTCACAATCACTAATAGGAAGATTATAGGAAAATTTTGTATGGCCCATCATAGATCAGGGAAGAAAAATTGATTTCAGTTACATCAATAACTTAAGCACGTTCAGTACCCTCAGCAAATGGAGATCGAATGTACAATTTTCATCTACAGTTGTGCATTGTGAGGGAGTATCAGAGATCAAGATCCTCGAATGGTGCTGCAGGGAAGTTCATGTGGTTGTGGTAAGAGACTGCAGTGTGACTTTGTGAAGCAACATCTACCTAGTTGCAGCGGAGAACAAGCCCAATGTTATCCAGACAGATACTGCCAGTCCGTTACCATGATTCTTGATAATTTCCCATGAAAATAGAAGGACGAATAAATACTTGCGAATTTGCTATACAGGGCTTATCCAGATGAGATGCCACCATTTTCTGATATCATTGCCAAGACTGATGATTTTACGAGCTATCGCGTGCAGCTGGGAAGTCAATTCCATCTTTCAAATGGCTCACTGCCGTAGGGCACACCCATTTCAGCATGTTTGGACCTAATATCTGGTCAGGATATGATGAGTTACGATTCTAGAATATGGATGCATGAATATATATCTTTATCTGAGTGAGGATATATATACACACACACACAAAATATCAGAGGAGAGTGAGTACCAAAGTAATGTTTTTGTAAGCACCGACATTGAAGGGATGGTGGTAGCTCTGACCAGATTTTCTAGCCAACCATGCTGCCCGTTTCCCTTCATAATACTGGTGAAAAAGCCAATTCCCAATCATTCATTTACAACCACAGGAAATATGCATCAACATGGTGAAATTTAATGATACAAACTCATAGTTTACCTCAATGGTTGTCATGTTAACTGTAATGAGGTAAATATGCCAGGAAAAGAGAGTCCCCAGTGTCAAGCTTAAACCAAGAATCATTACCCCGCAAGTAATCTGTAATATTATTTGCCCAAAAATTGTTCTCAATATATACTGCTGCCAGAATTTTGTACAAATGAAGGAAAACAAAGCAGATTATTGTAACCAAACAATGCCACAACATGGTTTGCATTGCATGTCAATGCCTTTATAAGGTTAAACCACACATATTACTCGAATTCCTTGCTTAACTGTGAATCTGATCCAAGTATTTGCAATGCAAAAACCACACAAAGCCATTACATATACAACTTAACTGAATAGCTATACAGATCAACTACCAACTCACATAAAAGACCTTGAGGGGAGCCCTCCTGCTGAAATCCCAGTCCTTCTGAAGGGCGCAGCTTAAAGTTATAACCTAAGCATTCCATAGGCTTTGATTAAGAACCATCGAGTACATGGCAAAATTCTACAAAAGAGGCTGTATTGAACATACCGAAGAGTATATGCTTGCCATAGTTGCATATAGGACAAGAATGAAAAAGGTCTTATAGTTTCTATGACCCACACAATTATTTATCCAGAGACAGTGATGATCCTGCACACAATGTTTAGTGTAAGAGGAGACTATATACATTGTGCGCAAATTGTGGTGAAAAAAGGAGATCAGATATCATTCAATGTTTACAAGAAAAATGGAAGAGCACTCACCATCCTCAAAACACACGTTCTGCATACACGGCAATGATGAGCCCTGGGAGGCTTGTATGAAGAACACTTGTCACATCTTCTCATATGTATGCCCTGAAAGTCATCATCCAGGAATAGCAATTCACATTCTAATGCAAATCTTTCACTGAAGAGTTACTGACTTTAGAACAAAGCCTCTGCTGGAAGAAACTGCTTATGGTTCACTATAGATTATCAGCAATCTATTAACAAACAAGTTTTGTTTGGAGAGAGAAAGAGAGAGAGTTTATGGGCCCAACCCAATCTAAATTGGTGAGGACGCATAATTATTGCAACCTAAGATTGTTTGCATTTATGGGACCTGGGAAGGTACTATAAAAAAATCAAGTAAACATCTGAAACATAACTAATATCAGTGTCGATGGAGCAGAGCTACAACATTAACAGCCAAATGGGTTTCGGAATTAACTTAAAAATGAATTGTCCCAATACATGGTGTGCAATTGAGGGATAGGTTTTTGACCCTTATTAAGTGCTTCAGTGCCCTTTCAGCTATATCGAAGTATAAAAAACAATCACCAATCACTTCCAAATTAGTCAGAATTTAAGCATGAAAAAACTTGGCTTTGTTACAAATTCTGACAAAAAGATTAGTAAAATTAAATCCAAATATTAAAAAGTGCCAAATAGATACTTAACTGGTTTTTCAGCAGCCTAGATCTTCAGAAGTAATTCAGTGACTAGAATCTTCCAGTTCTATATTGTTTTGTCATCAAACAGACTCATTGCTATGAATCAAATCTACAAAGAAGTTCCAGGTTTAATACGAACAAGTGAATCACACCTTGTAACCCTTTGAAAATCACATATACCACAATTATACCACCATCCTCAGCTCTCACTTCAGTTAGCTCTCAATCTGGGGCATGTAACCTTTTTCCTCCCGAGAAGGTCTCATTATATCCATTTCCTAGGTAGAAATCTAGTGGTGGCTCTTGGTCTAGTTAGCTTCACCTATGCAGTAGCATTTTATCCATATAAATAGTTGTCACTCCACTCCAAGTAGGTCTACTCGATGTAGCCCTTTCTGTCTCTTGAGTTCCAATGTGTTGCCTATTTTGAGACCAACAATTAACCAGATCAAGACTCCAAAAGTTCCAAAATTGATGGAACAGCTGAAATCAGGGCCCATAACCTTTTGGAACCGTAACACGCTTCTCATGTCATGCTCTTCTACTAGCAATTCATTATCACGACACTTTTTATCAAAACTCACGAGAATAGGTAACAAGTTCAGAGACCACATTATGAGACTCAGCCCATGGAGCCCTGCTCACTAAACTCTACACATACCTTCAGCACTCAGCAATGCAAGTGATGACTAGCTGCTTGGTCTTCCCAACCACATAATTTCTCACAACTGCTCAAATATTTCACACCAAACCAAGTCATCAGGATTGTAAACCCGCCTTACCATCAAACCAAAGTAAGTACACATAAACATGCATGCGCACACACACACACATGTGCATGCATACATGCCATTAGTACACATAACTCAACTCAAATCAACTCAACAAAGCCTCTATCCCAATTATTTGGGATGTCATCACACATCAAACAAAACTTTTAAGAAGAATTAGACCATCGTTAGGAGTGATTATCTAGTGCAATGGTTTGAGCTAAAAACCACAATATTTCCTGAATTCAAATGTCACTATGTGAAACTAATGCCAAAGGTCTGGCCTGGGTAATGAAAGAAACTGAAATAAATGTACTTTCGTGCGCCTGGAAATGTGGAATTCAACCTTCAAAATAGTATTAGGGGAAGATTAGTTCAGATTTTCTAGTTATTTCACAAGTCCAATTCGAAGACATCAATCCAAAAGCCACCAATCAAAACAAAAAAATGTTACCAATCCCATAAACCACACAAGTATCAACTCCAAAATTACAAGTCCAGCATCAAACAAAAAGGGTTATAAAGATCATTCTTTTAAAACCCTAAACATTAAACTTTACGGACTTACACTTTTGTTGTGTTCTTGATCTGAGACCTCGCTATCTTCAATATCAGGAACATATCCAGATGGGACTCCACCTGGGTCGGTGAGAACACAGACCAAGAAAGAGAAAACAGAGAGAAAAGCCAACACAGTGAAGATCAGAGCGTTCAGTGAACCAGCTGAGCTCTGTAAACTCAACCAATCATCTATGAAAATGAATACTGTGACATAATAGACGAAACCAACTAAGAGGAACACTGAGAAAATGGGAATTGATAGAAATCGTTTGAATTTCATGGAATCTTTGTGGATTTGAAAGGTACAAGAAGGTTTCGACGTTTTTGGGGAATTTAATTTGGAGTTGAACGTCGCCGGAAAAGGGGTTGTTATGGCGTTGGTGGGCACTGAAAGTCGTTTCTACTTTCTTTCTCGTTCAGCTGATTAGGCCTGGTGAAGCCCAATTTAATGTCAAATGTAGGCCCGACCAACCCAAGCCAATGCCCACACCACTCGATGGTACCGAGTTGTCCATTGAGTGGAATGAGTAGTTTGGAAGGAATTATAAATTGAAAATTGGAAGTGACTTCCTTAAACGTATTTGTTTGGAAATAAATCTTGTAAGAAAATTTATAAGGGGTTAAGTCTATGTTTAAAATTATATGTAATGACTTAAGTTCATTTTTTATTTTTATCTCAAAAATACCCTTTCTTAAAAGGAAGTTAATCTTTTCTCTCTCATATCTATCTATATCCATATAAAAGTTAAGAGTTTGACTAATATTAAAAATTTTTCTCTCTTATCTATTTATATCCATATATATATATATATATATATATATATATATATATATATTTTAAAAAATAGTAACATTCAAATACAAAAAAAAAATTACTATGAATTTGAATAGTAAAATTCAAATTCATATTACTATTTTTTTTATTATATTACTGTTCATGTACTATTATTTTTGAGCATATTACTATTTTTGTTGACCATGTTACTACTATTATTTTCCTAAATATTAATTTTAAATATTACTATTTTTTGTATTTGAATGGTACTATTTTTTACATTTGAATTTAAGATAAATAATTATTGTTAAGTATGTTATAGCTTTTATTAAGCATGTTACTATTTTTGTTGAACATGTTACTGTTGTTATTTTTTAAAAATATTAATATTGAATGTTTCAATTTTTTATGTTTAAATGTTACTATTTTTTTGTGTTTAAATGTATTATTTTTTGTGTCCAAATGATAACTTTTTTTTATATTTGAATGTTACTATATATATATATGTGTGTGTGTGTGTGTGGATAAGAGAGAGGAAAAATTTTAATGTTAATCAAACTCTTAACCTATAAATAGATATAGATAGATATGAGAGAGAAATTGTTTTTAAAGTTAATCAAACACTTAAGATTTAGGAGTTTTCATTTTTTAGCTTTATTTCACTTCTAAAGGGAAGAGATAGTATGATAAAATTGACAAAAAATGGACTTCATAACAAATAAGTTTCCTTAACGGACTTAAATCCAAATAAATCCACATAAGGGGACCGACCTCCAAATTTTTCAATTATAAATTCGAATGTTTTGGGCTCAATTCTCAACGGTATCTTTCGTCTATTTGATTCCAGTGGTTAGTTGGTATTTACGCGCATTCGTGGATTATTTTGTCGAATTGGGTCAAATGTAGCTCAGACAGGTTTTTCCTTATGAAAAAAAAAAG